TAGGGGGATTTCGCTGGATTTGTCGGATTAAGATACCTTTGTGAGATGTAATGCCTTTATTACATGACTCTAAATCCACCATATCTATTTTATTCTTTCGATATCTCTCCAAATCCTCTGATATCCTTTCCAAAATTCCCCGATATCCCTCTTAATCCTCCTACATATAAATACTGAAAAATACACTGGTATATACCTAATCTAATATCCTTAGAAATCTCCCTAATCCCTCTATATTACTTTTAAACATCACAAATCCTCTTTTATCCTTGTTAATCCCGCAAATCCATTTATATCTGTTAATCCTAAAATATCCTCTTAAGAGCTTTTCATTTAGATATATGTATGGGGCATCAGAAAATGTGAGTATTCTTAAGTATTCTTAACTTTAATGATATTCTTAACCTTAATCGGGGTTTTCAGGAATTTGAGGAGATGGACCCTGAAATTCCAAAAAAATAAAATTTTGGAAGGCCAAGAAGCCAAGATTTCTTCTTGTTATAGCGCCGCAGGCAAAAATTTTCGATTTTTGATAGGCTTCGGGTGAAAATTCTAGGAATTTTGGAAGTCCATATGATAAAATTTTCAATTTTTTCTTAGAATTTTCCAGTACCGAAAAACCGGTAGTACCGCGGTACTGGAAAGCTGACCGGTACGGTTCCGGTACCGGTAGTACCGAAAAGTACCGGTACCGGTCAGTACCGAAAATCCAAAAATTTCTTACCGGTACGGTACCGGTACCGGTAGTACCGAAAAGTACCGGTCCGGTACTGACGGTAGTACCGCGGTAGTACCGAACCGTGCCTAACACTAGTCAATATCAATACCAAATCGTTCACAAAATGCTGGAAATGTACTAAACAAAATTAATATTACTCCAGTTGTAACATAATAAATATTTTTAGATCATTTTAATTTGATTCTTTGAAATTTTATTTTTAAAACATTTAAGGATTTATAGACGATTAGGTTTTTATGATTTATTTGATGATTTTTTTAACTTTCCTTTGAAGCATGGTTTACGTAACCTCAGTTTTTTGGAGCATAAGTAAATCATGCTCTTATGAAACCAACAACAACAATGAATATATCGAGTATACATACATACAATATATAATGAAGCATACTAAAGTTATGGATATGATTCGACTTATTAAAAAGAATATATATTAAAATAGCTATTAAGTAATAATTAAAATGAGAAAACTATTTTTTGCTATTTTTAGTTCTCTTTTTTTCATTTCTTTTCACAATATGAATTATTTCAGAAATTTTAACGATTAAATCATGAATAAACGTAATTCAGATCAAAAGAGAGGATTTTATTACTGGGATTGTTATGATTGCTGAAAATACAAACTATTAATTAAAATAAAAAAGTTATTATTTTTAGAAGTCTATTTACTGTAATGTAAATAAAAATTGAATAAATATCTAAAAATCTTGGCTATAGTATAGATTATAAGTCCGAATTAGGGCTGTCCGCTTTAATACCTTAAATCCTCTAAAATAGCCCCGCCCTCTAAAATAAGCTCCCTTCCAAAATAAGCCTCCCTTCTAAAATAAGCTCCCTTCCCCATAAAATATTTAATTGTTGATTAATAGTTGTTTCGCCTCAGTTGAGTCCCATGCGTGTAAATATATAGAAGGATTAGAAGTAATTAAGAGGGTATTCTGATAAGTAGACATATCAATGAGAAAGAGATGTAATTTCTTATTACATTTCATTATAATTGGAGTTATTCAGATCCTAATTAAAGTGGTTCTCAACTCTTGAAACAAAAAAAATTTAAGCTACTAAAAGTGTGAAATTATTTTTTTAAAACACAAGGATTTCACAATAGTCAATAAATTCTTAAATAAAATTTTATTTTTTTATTATATTATAATATGTCATGAGCTTTTTCAAACGAAATTTTGTTTTTAATTTGAATAAACAAAAATAATAAATTTTAGAAAAAATTTTAGTACTTAATATTGCCATTTAAAATACAAAAATAGAAAATAAACTCTCGAAACTTAACATTTACCTTAAAAATACCCAGGTTGTTTAATATTCAAAGTCGGGGAAAACATAAAATTTGCATAAATATTTTTATGTTTGTTTGAATTAAATGGAAGATCATGGTACACAAAGGTATAAAATCATAAAAATAGTAGAAAATAAAGTTGATTAGAGGAATATAAATACAACTATGTTGAGTGAAGTACAAATCATTTTTAGTTGATTAATTCATCATTTTAATTATTTTTCTTATAAAAATATTTTTAGAAGCTTGATTAATTTATGCCAAAATTCGCTGATTAGTTATTTTAAGTAATCGTAAGCACCGAGTTATTTGTAGGCTAAAAATATGAACCGAACATAATTTTAATTTTTATTTAATTTCTTAATTATTTCCTTAATTAAAAAGAAAATCCTTACTCATAGATCAGAACGTGATGGGATTCTTGATCATTATTTTATATTTTCTGTATGGGATTAGTTTGTGTGTTACCCAAAAATTATGGGACTTCCAAAAAATTATTATTGTGGACGGAAAATTTTTTATTATTCAGTCCGTCTTTAAAATGAGGTAAAATACTTATGCAAAAAATAACTTTTCTTTCAATCTTAAGCTAAATATTTAAACATTTTTTTATTTAAGAATTTAAATTTTAAAGAAAATTTAAAAAATGTTTGCTTCTTCAACCAAAATTTGTTTGTTCTTTCTATCAATTTTTATATTATTCCAATTAAACAATGCGGTTTGTGCTAAACTTGGTGGTACATGTGGAAATCGAAATGATTGTTGTAAAGGAAGTTGTTCTAATGGGAAATGTTGTCTTCTTACAGGAAAATGTGACCCGAGAAATAATAAATGCTGTGGTGCTTGTAGACGAACTGGTAATGTTGGGGTGATATACACATGCCAGGTGTGAGATACACATGCCAGTGAAAAATATGTTCATCAACTGAAGATGTTATATAGTTTTTTCAAATTCTGTTCTTTAAATTCTTTCTTTAAAAACTTTTTTCTTTAAATATAATTTATAACAATTTGATAATTTAACATTGCGACATAAATGAAACGATAATAAAATAATATTTTTAATAATTATTATTTAATAAGCCAGGGAGAGATTAAAACGTTATATCATGGCCCGCATTTGGCTCTAAAATTTTCTTACTTATGGGCTGCAGCGGAAAATTGGGCTCTACGTGAAAAAAGCGGACTTTTAAAATTTCTATTTTCGCTCATACTTGGTACCAATACAAATAGTAATTATTTAAAATTAATAACAATATAAAGATAACAACGACAGAATATACATAAAAATACGTTAAAATGAACTTTCTTCCTCCTTCTTGAAAATTACAAGCTTATCACCATTCCAATCAAGATCGAATATCACATTAGAATTATAAGTATTTGTAATAGTGAACGATTTTTCTGTGTTTTGATCTGAATTAATTTCAGGAGCAGAAAAGAAATCGATTATAATGCACGAGACAAAATTTGAACAATCCTGTGTCATGATGTGCTAAATTTTGAAATTATTTTTAAAGTGTGTACACGTGTCCAAATGCTAAGGAGTCACTTTCTGAGAGGAAAAAGATTGAGGTACGTGGTCCTAAGCAGTAGCGATGGTCGGGAGTTAAAAAACCGAGAATCGAAACCGAGACCGAGATTAACCCCGAGAGTGACAATGTACTCGTACTCACTTGATGTCCCTCCTAATCACCAAAAATCACTTGATATCCATCATAATTCCCAAAATCCCTCAATCCCCGAATCTACAATACCTCATTCACTCTAAATCTCTCATATCCAGATTAATCCACTGATATTTACTTTAATCGCTTAAAATCCCCTTATATCCCTCGATATCACTCTAAATCCAACGATATCTTCTTGATCCCTCGTTTACACACAAGTCCTTTGATGTTTATTTATTCCTTCAAAATCCCCAGATAACTCTCCTAATCCTTTTTAACCTTATTAACTTCCTTGTTTAATTTCATTCTACATATCTCCCTAAGACATACAATTTGTTAATAAATAATTAAAAACTGATAGAATTAAGTTATTAAAACTATTAAGTCCCCTTTTCTTAAAACTATTAAGTCCCCTTAAAGTATTAAGTGTTCTTCCACCTATTGCGGTAGAATCCTCCGATTGAGGAAGAATCCTCCGATTGAGGAAGAAAACTGAGGGAACACTTTAACTGTTACCGAATGTTCTCTCAATTTTACAATTGCAATAAGTTAACTTTTTACCATTAGAATCAGATTTATCAGTTTTCGCGTCTCTAGACTAATCCAAATTGAAATAATATTCTTGCCTCCATTATTTAACAAATCTAATAAATACTTGTTGCATTTTTCTTTTTTGTCGAATGATGCAAAGAATATTCTAAGTTGATTTATAATTAAATGATCCAAAGTAAATCTTAGGGCATTTTTGATATTAACGTTGCAATAAACTATTTCGACCCGTTCTGAGCGAAATTGAGTTGGAATATTTTCTTCATTTTCAAAAAGTATTTTAATCATTTCCGGATTGAAAAAATAATCCGTAAATTCTGCGCACTCAAAAGTACAAAGAAATAGTTTTTCAAGCCAACAACGGACAATCTTCATTTCCTCAGTGGTTTTAGGATAGACAGGAAGTTTTAACATATAATGATCTAAAATTTTAAGTTTGAGTCAAGATGTTATCTTAAGGCAAGATTCTATGGGGTACACCCAACGTACCGCGAGGCCAACGTACCGCAGAGCTATAACTTTGTTAAAAATCGTCGAATCCAGGACGCCGTGATATGGTTCGATTCAGCTCGTTAAGATGCATCGACCTATACCAAGTGTTCCCGGATTCAACTATTTTAAACTAAGTTATAGTTGGCCTGCTCCCGATTCTTGATAGTATTTCTTGGAAATCTTGAGATATCTGGGGAAAACCCAAGAACCGAATAGATATGTTTAGGTTCGGTTTAGAAGATAATAAGTAATGAATTCTTTAATACAAACCTTCCACCTCACTCATATCCACCCTTGTATAAAGTTTGTTGTTTGGAGGAGTATCACACAAACTTAAATAAACAGGTATGCGGCTATCTACAGCAGATTGCCACTTAAAAAAACGAAAATCTTTTATCAGCTCTATACAGATCATTAATTTACCCTTTCCACAAGTTGATCATTTAATAAAATATTAAAAATTCCAGATTCAATTTTGAAAAAATCTTGTTCACTAAGGTCCTTTGAATTGTCCTTAAAATTTTATTTTTTCTAAAAAATTTTAGAAATAAATTGGACCATAATAGGTTTAACTGCATACAATCTTCTGCATGCTAATATTCCCTCATTTTGTCTAATCAAACAATAAAAGTAATAATTAGTTTGTTGGAGAGATAATAGTTGATTAAACTTAAGAAATTTGAGAATATCAAGTTTTATTTCCCCGGGAAGATTTAAAAATTGCTTTGTAGTGTCTTTCAAAAGTGGAAGCTTCTCTTTAGTCATAGCCCTTCTCTCATTAGCCTTCTTTCTAGATTTTTTAATCTTTCTAATCTTCTTCTTATAATTTTTCAATTGTTTGCAAAAATCAGTTCGGATGGTGCAAACTAGGTTACCAAGAAAATATAACCGTATAATGCCGGAATTTATTTTAAAGGGCTGTTTTGTTGATTTCTTAAGTAATATTAGTTTCTTTCTACAAATTCTATTCTTTTTTCTTAAATTTTTTGCATTATTTTTAGATTTTTTAATTTTTTTTTTAAATTTTTCTTTCTCCTTTTGTTGTTTTTAAGCATATTTAAAATTTAATCTAGAAAATAAAATTTAAATGGGTAATTATAAAATATTCTAGATCAAATATTTTGGTAGTCTCAAGACCTTTCTTACAGACCTTTCATACTTAAGACCTTTCATACACTAATCCGTATGATTTCCCATAAGTCTAGGTTGTCCCCCTAATTGTTCCAGACCGTGTCTTCTTGAATAAGTCTGCCATAACCAATTTTAGTATTTGAAGAAAAAATAGAGGATGGGGAGAGGGGGGGGGGAACGAAATCCAGTTTCACTAAAATCGTGAATACTTGAAAAAATTTTTTAGTTCGAATAGAACAGCAAAAAAAAGTTTAAATAAAAAATAATAATTCTTTTTTAACAAACTCTCACTAAATTGATACAATTTTAAAAAATGAATTAGGTAACTTACTTCCATATATAACATTCTTTGCCAAATAAAAGAATAAAAAACATTTTTTTCAGTTGTAAAAAATTATAAAAATTTAAATCAAATTACATATTCAATTACGAGAAAATAATTTTTTTCTGCTATTTTTGAATGTTTAAAATTTTGTTGGTTAAATAAAAGGGGTTGCGCATGTATTAATTAATGAATTATTCTTACTGCAATTTATTTAAGTGATTTAAAGGCAAAATAAGAAAGAGTGAGAGAAGGGAAAGGGGTTTGAAAACGAGAAAAAAGTTTTAGAAAAAAAATTTTCTAGTTGGAGGAAATTAGGACAAAATTGATGATTATTTAATGTAATTTTATTATGTAGGAGAGGAAATAATTTAATTAACCTTTCAAATCATTTGATAGGCAAACAAAAATAAATTATTTAATTATTTTAATTATTTAATATAGGGTTGCCCCTTGGTTTTAATTTTATTTATTTCCGAAAACAATATTAAAATTTAATATTGTTTTCGGAAATAAAATTAAATAAAAGTTTAAGATAAAGGTTTCTTCTTGTCAGACGAGATTAATTTAACCTCAATTTCATATTAGGGCTATCGATTTAGAAGATACTGAGATAACATACACAGACACCCACAATTCAAACAAAAATATTAAATGACCATTAAAGCTGTTCCTCGATTGTGAGGAAGGAAGATATTTGTATGGAGTATATATTTTAGCTAATTCTGAAAACATTTACCGTAAATGTTGAAATAATGTCCCTCTCTCGAATAATTACCCCCGCCCTATTAATTACACCCTACAGCCAGAGATCGAAAAATAATTACCCCTCTTAAAAATAGTTATAATCAGCCTTTTTAAAACGCTCAAATAATTACCCCCTCCATTTTAATTACCTCCTCCAGCGAGAGGTTGAAACAATAATTACCCAGGGGAATTATATTAGCAAATACGGTAATCCTAAATTTAATTCTATTTTAAAAACATTTTTAATTTATTAAAATTATTTTTTATTTTTTTATTTTTTATATTTTTTTGCACTTTAATAAAAATTTTGTCATTTGACTTTGATTTTTTAAATTTTTTATTTAAAAGACTCGAGGATTGAGGAGGGAAAAGGGCAAGGCACTTTACAAGGGTAAAGGCCAATTTTATTAAATTGAATACAAATAGGCATAAACTACAATAATAAATTTTTTTAATCTTGTGATTTTATATTTTTTTTTAAATTTCTCAAATTGTAAGTACAGAAAAGTACAAAATAAAAGTAAAGAATCATAGAAAAAAATATGAAAAAATTTCTTTAAAAACATGTTTGTTTGGTGCCGTGTGATTTGGGCAGTGGTGAATTGGGCAGTGAGTAATTTGGGCAGTGAGTGATTTGGGCAGTAAACGTTTCTAAAAAATAATTTTACACGCAAAAACAATTTGAGTAACGTTAGAAGAATAATTTCGAGTGATTTGGGCAGTAACTTAGAATACTTATATTATTTAAAATTGATAAGAAAAATTCCGGAAATTTTTATTTAACTTAAAGTAAATCCAAAATTTGATCATATTTTTCCAAAACTATTTTGACCTTTTTCAGATATTTTGGACTATCTTGAGACCTAAAAACTTAAAATAGGAATTATTTCTCAATTTTTCATACCTTAAATCTACTTATCACTTAGGGAAACGTCAAAATTGAGACCAAGACGATTTCAACAAAGGGTAATGTTGTACCTACAACGTTATCAAAATGAAAAAGTGGTGCGGTTCTTTGAATTTTTGTGTAAATAATTTAAAAATTCTAAGTTACTGCCCAAATCACTTAAAATTATTCTTCTACCGTTACTCAAATTGTTTTTGCGTGTAAAATTATTTTTTAAAAAACGTTTACTGCCCAAATCACTCACTGCCCAAATTACTCACTGCCCAATTCACCACTGCCGTTTTCACCAGACACGGTTTGTTTATGCTGTGTGATTTCGGCAGAAATAACGTCGGCAGTGGGTTAAATGGGCAGTGAGTGATTTTGGCAGTGAGGTGAATTGGGCAGAAAGGGATTTGGGCAGGAAACTAGAGCTTCATCGGAAGTTCCGGTTCCGGTTCGGAAAGTTCCGCTGTTTTATTGGTTACGGTTCCGGTTTCGGGAACCGGAACTCAAATTCCAAAATTTTCAAAATTTTTGCCTGAGGCGCAAAAAGCGATTGATAATGAGAGAATAAATCCACTAGCTCTTATTCACCCAGATCGCTGACAACCAATCCGCTTAATCCAATTTAATTTCCCGATATCGCCCTTAATCCACCCAAATCACAAAATAATCCATCCAAATCCCGCTTAATCCATTGATACCCCACCTAATCCTCTGATATCACTCGATATCCTCACTTTATCTGTCCAAATCCCCAATGAAAAATAATTCATTGGTTTTCCACCTGGAGCCCGGAGCCAACATGAGACGGCTCCGAAAATCGCCATCTCCGTATCCAACAAATGGCAAATACCCAGCACTGTCGGAAACTTTTGTTTCTGATTTCAGATCCGGATATCTTACCCAAACCTAAAACATAAGAAGAGGATTACCGGAAATTATTTCGTCAGTTTTTGAAATTAAAAGAAAAACACTTTAAAAAATTATTTTCTTATGAATGCCCTTTTAATTTCTTAATTTAGTAAACAACTTAAATTAGTTTGCCTATAGTTTAAAATAAGTGATCAGTTGTTCGAAATTTCGATTTTCAAAAAGTTTTTTTGTTTCGAAACAGCTCTATAAGCAAACCTAATAAAAGGGCAGTCATTAATGTAAAATAAAATAATTATTTGTTAAAAAATATTATTCAATTAAAATTTTAATTAAAAAACTGAGGTAATGCCTTATTTAAAAATTTTATTATTTTTAAAATTTTCCTTTCTAATTGTTAACTTTTCCTTCTTTACTGCCCAAATTCCTCACTCCCCAATTCACCTCACTGCCTGAATCACTCACTGCCCATTTAACCCACTGCCACTTCAAACGCAATCACCAGACACTTTTTTAATTAATTAATTTTTTGTGGGGTAAAATTTTGAATTTTATAAAGTTTTCGCATACAATGAAAATCAAAAAGATATGGTACCTTTGTTCAGTCGGAGTTTCTGGTGGTATGTGTGTCCGCAGAAAAATTTTTAATCATTTTCCAGAATAGGCCTTCTATTATAGAGAGAGAGATAGGCCTTCTAATAGGCTAAAGATAGGCCTTCTAATACATAGGCCTTCTAAATCTACAATGGAGGAGGCATTGAATAGCCTTAGAAACTAAGCCTAGTGTATATGTAAATTTTGTCAAATGATAATTTTATCTTTTTTCTTCTATTTCCTTCGATCTTTTACTAGATTAATTAGGGCGGAGTTGATAGATTTACGTATAAAATTGTATATATACGCAAAGTCAACAGCAAATAAATACAGTGAATTCCTCTCGATTTAATCATTCTTAAAAATTTTCTTTTATTTAATTTAAGAAAAATCCGAAAAAATGCGCTTACTCGCTTTGGGGGCATTGGCCCTGTTTATAGCATTAGGAGAAGCAAAAGATAAAGGAAAGGCACTTGAGAGATCTAAAGGTCTGCCAGGAAATTTAAACGTTTATTTGGAACCAAATGATGAAGGTTGTACAAGAGAACTTTACAAGGCTAAATATCAGTTACCGTTGCCGCGTGAATATCTTGGAATCTACAAAAGTATGATTATAATAAAGAAAGGATGTTAGATTTACTGTATTTCCTCTATTAGAATGCCATGGGATTCTATAATATTTTTTAATCACCTTCCAGAGTGATTGAATGAAGGGTCATGGGGGGCATCTATTAGAGATGAGGGGTATCTATACTGGGGAGGCATTGCTTTTATAAGATAAAATAATATCCTTAAATAAAACGATTTAAAAATTTAAAAACCTTAATAAACCGCAAAAGTCGACTAATTATTTCTATACAATAAACAATTTAAGCGACAACCTTTCCGAGAGCAACGGCTAATGAAGAGGAATTTAAAAGAGTCTTGAATGATCAGAATGTTGAGTTAAAAAAGATTATGGATGATGAACAAGAGTATGAGGAATATGAACAATTGGGTGACGATAGACATATTAACCATGTTGATAAAATAAAGAAAGTAAAACCATACTTGGAAGAATTGGAAAAACAGGTGGGAGATAAAGAGGATATGGAAGGCGGGCCAGCTGTCGCCCGTCCTTGCCACATAATTAACGAAGATGGAGTTTGTAAAATTGATGTTTGTATGTTTTATTTTATTTTTAAATATTGGATGAGTAAATGATGAAAATTGCTGTTTAATATAATGTAATAGTAAGAGTTTGGCAAAAGTTTATCCACTGAGAGGGATTCGAACCTGCGTCCTCCTTGCAGTTATAGGAGCTTTAACACTACTTATGCTTTCTCTTTCATCCTAATGTTCGTTTAACCCCGCCTAAGCGTTTTAAATGCTGCTAGGTGAATCTTTTTCATAATGCTATACTGGAGGAGGCACATGATGTCCCATCAATAGGAAATTTGTTTTGCTCCTAGCCACTGAATAAACATTTGCATTGGCGAAA